TTTTTATTCAGACTTCAGGCTCACTCAGACTCAGTCTTAAGCATTACTGAGAGCACGTGGTTTTCTGTCAGATGAGGGCTTGGAGCAGAGCTTGGAGCGAAGATATCAGTTAATCTATTTACATATGCATAGTTAGCTGTCTAGGGTGTAGGGTTTAGCCTACTATGTGCTTGGCGCTTCGGCAGAACTTGGGTGAGATTGGACAAAGGGAAATAGCTGGCAAGGCTGCTCCATCCTCCGTAGCCCAAAACCCTAAAGGCTCCTGAAGGTATTAAAGATCGAAGCCCCCACTCCCGAAAGCTTTAAACCCGACATATATATATATATATATACACATATGTATACACACATATATATATATATATGTGTATATATATATATATACATACACCATCAAACTCGCTCATGTCACCGTAAATTCCGATTGGCGTTAGAAGACGTTTAGTCTTGCCCGGATCCTTACCCAGGAGGCGACAAGGCAAATTACCAAGCCACAGCCAGCGATCCCCGCCTGGCACGACCCAGGCGTACTATCACACCTTCACGTCCAGTCTCGCCCAAAAAAGTGTCTGAGCCACTGTCCTCCTAAACCCTAAACCCTAAACCCTAAACCCAAATCCTAAACTTTGAATAATTCAAGATCGAAGGTCCTTGGCCTGGACATGAACGCCCTCATCCAGTATAAGGATCACATGCAAAGCCTGCAGGTCCAAGGGACATGTGCTTTTGCTGTTGTGAGGAGCACTATCACCCTGAACCCTAGACCCTAGGACGTTCATAAGGTAGACGCCTAAATAGTTACCAATACTTTTTTGGTGGTTCGTTATTGTATTTATAGTATAATATACCCCCCAAACCCTAGTCTAATTATTATGGCCCTTACAATAGGGTGTAGCGTGAGGGGCTTGGTGCATATGGAGGGCTCTTCCAGAGATGGATTGCTTGCCGGTCATTCAGATGTGAGGCCGAGCAGTCGCTGTACGGTAATTCAGGGGCCTTAAAAATTAGAATGGGGTTTTGGTGTATGTATGTATGTGTATATATGTATATATATCTAGACAGATTATACTATAACTATCATACGGAATCCCCCAAATAGCACAGGTAATTTTTTAGGCCCCTATATTATCAACAGCATTTGTGGTCGGTGGCTCGGGGCGTCAGGGTGAAGGCTGGTTAGCTTTCGGGCAAAGGGGTTGTTGCGTTAGTGTTGCGCCGCCGGAGATTTTAGTACTTGACCCAGTGTGCCCATAGAAGGACTGGCTGCTTGGCTGGGCTTTCGCGCTGTTTGCAGAGGGGAGGTCTAGAAGAAGGTTTAGTGGGCTTTCGGTGAGGCGGCGTCATGTTGAATTGGCGAGCCCCGAAACCCCAGAATCGGAGCCTTGAATCATCAGGCGAAGACGCTTCCCTAGAGTCTGTATACTATCTAAGGCCCCTCGAAACCCTAAGCCATAAACCCCAAACCCTAGCAAACCCTAAACCCTAAACCCCTTAACCCTAGACCCCCAACCCCAAACCCTAAATCCTAAACCCTAAACCCCTTGACCCTAAGCCTTTATACCATAAAACCAACACCCTAAACCTGTGTCCGATTCGTCAGGCTCTTGTTGTACTCCAAACCCTGGTTCAGCTGCTTCATGAATTAGGGTTGAGGGTGTAGGGTTTAGGGTGTACGGTTTAGGCCATGGTTGAGGGATTAGGGTTTAGGGTTTAGGGCAGGGTTTTGGGTTTAGGGTTTATAGGATTTAGGGCAGGGTTTAGGGTCTCGAGTTTGGGGTGTTCTTCCTGTCTGCTAGTTACTTGGGCCAAGTGGCGCTAGGAAACCCATCCATTCCCCGAGCTGCAAGCCCTGAACATCCAGAGCTTCAGATTCATTCCTTTAGGGGTTAGTTTACCCAAAGGGTCCTATGTACCTATATAGTAGAATGTAGGAGTTTCTATATTAGGAATTTCTATTATACTTTAGGGCCTTAGGGAAGTATCCCCCATAACAGTACCTAGGACCCTTTGGGTTAGGTCTTGCAAGTGTTTGTACTGTGTTTTTGTTTTTTGTTTTTGTTTTGTCTTGGCGGGGGACGGGGTCGTGTCTGTCTGTTTTTGATTGCTTCAATTTTTCCTTGATATGCAACGAACCGTTTTTGAGTCTGCCGGCGCTCTGTCAATCTTCTCCAGCCGTTCCTGTTGGCAAAGGTTTAGGGTTTTGTATGCAATATAGAAGCCTAAATATTTACCCATACTAGTTTGGGGGCTCCTTGTTATAATTGTAACTATAATATACCCCAAAACCCTATTCTAAGTATTAAGGCCCCTACATTAGGGTTTAGGGGCTTAGGGCGGAGGATTTGGGACGTAGGGCTTAGGCTTCTGGGGTCTAGGTGTCGGCCAAAGGTTTCTCAAGATTTTAGGGGTTTATAGGGGTTTAGGGTTTAGGGTTTAGGACTTTGTTTGCTGGCTGCCAAATGCCGAACAAGTTCGGCTGACGCTCCCATGCAGGCCCCAGCCAAGTCATGCAAGTTTTCTTCTGGTGCGCAGGCTACGTTGACATTGCTGCACCCAAAGACCGACTTGAGCTTAGGGCACTGGCCGGCAGTTGAAATGTTAAGAGTTCAGGTCAAGTGCTCAAGTTGAGTCTAGTTGTACCTTAAGAAGCAGAATTCAGTCTAGCTACCTACCCAGATTCCAGGGGCGACGAGGTCCTAGCATCCCAGAGTCAGTCCTAGCTGGCACGAGATCGGCCCTGACTTCGACACATCACGGTGCGAGCCCGAGACTCTGCGAGATGATAGGATTCACTCAGGGGGTTTCCCAAACTAGGCTCTCTTTCGGGTGCCCAAACTCTAGGGTGCCGTTTTAGGAGTAGTATATAGGGTTCCCCCTAAACCCTAAAGCCCGTTTTTGACAGTGACCCCACATTTGGAGGCTTCGGTGTACCTGATGGGTCGTAATTATCGTAGGCTTTGGGGTTAATAGGGTTCAGGGCTTTCACCGGTCCGCCTTCAAGTATCTGTAGAACTTGTCTGCCTACCTGTACTTTTGCGTACGAAGCTTGCCTTCAGACAACTGAATCCCAAAGGGCCCATACATACTGTTATTATGGAATTCGGCCCCAAAAGACAATCCTTGTTGTGGTCTTGGGGATTTGATTCCAGAATAGTAGTACAAATTTGACCCTCTGGGAACCCTAATCCCTCAACCCTAAACCAGAATCCCTAAACCCTAAATGTAGACCTGAGCCGGAAACCCTATGACTCGGACGATGCTGTGCAGGTCCAAGTGTATGGTTCGGGGCTTGACGTGAAGGGCTACTGCTACTACGACGACGACTACGACAAACTACTGCGACTTCACTACGACTACGACTACGACGACTACTTCTACCGCCTACCACCTACAGGTGAGCTACCACCTACCGCCTCCCATCTAGCAGCACTGCCGCTAATACGACTACTACTCCTCCGCCTCCTCCTGCTGCTGACGGCTAACAGATTACCACTGCGCTACTACTATTGCTACGACGACGACTACTACAGTACTACTTTTTCTTATTGCTGCTTTAGATGCTACCACTGCTTCCATGACAGGCCAGAGCATAGAGGTTTTGAGCTTTGCTTCTAACCACCAGTGATGATGTGCTATAGAGGTCTAAAGTATCAGCACTCGTACTAACCAATCCCAATCATTCAGGCCCCTATTGTCTGGTCCTCCTGATCCTCATTAAACATGCGTCTCTCCATGTTGCCGTGCCGAGACTCAAGCCCGTCTCCAGATAAGGAACATACTCGACATATGGTAAGATCCCTAATATGATTGAAGGTGCCTTCCTTCATTAAGTCATATTGGAAAATCCCGGCCAAGTACAGGTCCCAGGCTAAAGCCCTCGAAGCCCCTGAGTTCTACAGGCCTTTTATCTGAAGGCCCAATGTCCTAAACCCTAAACCCTAAACCCTAAACCCTAAACCCTAAACCCTAAACCCTAAACCCTAAACCCTGACCCTGAGTCGCCTTAGCTACAACCCTACGAGCTGCACACTGCAAAGCCGAGGGGCGAACTTTAGGCCATCAGTTTGGGTTTAGGGTTTAGGGTTTAGGGTTTAGGGTTTAGGGTTTAGGGTTTAGGGTTTAGGGTTTAGGGTTTAGGGTTTAGGGTTTAGGGATTTGGAGGGTTTCCGACAGTAGGGGACCCTAATGTAGTACCCCAAATAGTAGGATCCTTTTTTTATAAGGACCCCAAAATAAGGTACCCCGTATTTTTGGAAACTCCCATGTGTTATTGAAGGCTTTCGGCTCGAGGGTAAAAGTGTTGTGCGTGTCTGTGAAGGGAAGGCTGCTCTTATCGCAGGATTCAGAACCTGGTCGTCGTAAGGCGCCGTAGTCTTTCAGGACCTGAAACCCTAAACCCTAAAAATGTTGAGCTGATCATGTACTATACCAACATGGTCGTGCTTTGATTACAGTATCTGTCCTGGTTGACATGCCGCCTCAGCTGCCGCTAGCCCTCCACTTGAGCGCGACTGAGTCGGTGCTGAAGCAGAACTATAGGATGCTGTCTTGGCTTGTGTGGTGGATTGTGGTTGTTGAGATTTTAAGTGGCTTTGGCATCTTCGTACTGCCGTTCCTGATGAACGAGTACTTCTATGTGGCAGGCCTCTTGCTGCTCGTGCTGATGAAGTTGCTTCGGAAAGTACCTGTGCGCTCCTTGCTTCTGCAGCCTGCAATGCTTGCGACCACCATGCGAAGTTCCCTTTTCGGACTCTCACAAGGGCCGGTGTCAGAAGAAGGCTGCTGTTGCGCATGGGAAGCAACTTTCCGCGTGCTCCTCTCTTCCCTCGCCTTCGTCTCTCTGGCCTTTCAGTGGGATGCTCTATCTTCGATGTGTGAGGAAAGCCTAAACCCTAAAACCCCCAATTAAACCCTAAACCCCCAATTAACCCTAAACCCTAAAACTCTAAACCCTAAAACCTTAAACCCCAAAATGGGATGATCTATCTTCGATGTGCCAGGAGCAGCCTTCATTGCTGGAAGCTCAGGAGTCAGCCCTAAACCCTAAACCCTAAACCCCTAAACCCCTAAACCCCTAAACCCTAAACCTTGACCCTAAACTCAAAACAGAGCAGGAGTCCGCAGCTCTAGGCTGTCCGCTTCTGGGCTGCGGGGATGCGGCCCGAGCGGCCTTGCGCGCCGCCGGGGAGGCCCCCGGAGATTCAGGGCATAGGGTTTAAGGGTTTAGGGTGTAGGGGTTTAGGGGTTTAGGGTTTAGGATTTTAGGGTTTAGGATTTAGGGGTTTAGGGGTTCAGGGTTTAGGATTTTAGGGTTTAGGGTTTAGGATTTATGGTTTTGGAGTTTAGGGCTTTAGGG